GTCGTCGTAGTAGTAGTCGTCGTGGTCGTAGTAGTAGTAGTAGTAGTAGTAGTAGGAGCAGCAGCAGCAGCAGCAACAGTAGTACTATGGCAGCTGTAGTTGCTGTAGCAGCATCATCAGCAGCATCAGCAGCAGCAGCAGTCGTGGTCGTAGCAGTGCTAGCAGTAGCAGCAGGCATGAGTATAAGTAGGAGCAGAGTGTTTCTACAATCAGCTTTGCCACCCTCATCGATACCATCGACATCGTCGTCATAGTCATGCTAACGGCCAGCGCCGTTGTCGTTACGAGCATCAGTTCCGAGTAGCGCAACAAGACATCATGTATCCAACACTGCTATTCTCAGTCATTGTCGCTTTGACTCTTGCTGCCCCAGAATCATTTTCTTGGTGTTTATCATGGTCACTATAATGTTGCTACACTGGCGGCTCATGCGACGTTGGGCTCTGTCGCACCGCATGCTTGTACTGCTAGTAACTAATATTGCTACTGGAGCATTTATTTCGACGACTGCTCATGCTGCTATCGTACCTGCTGTAGTAACTGGATAAGGGAACCCCTGCCCAAACGTGAGCCTTGGAAATCTTCCTCGAGGCTCGATTTGCCACGTACTGTCCTGCGCTGAGCTTGCAAAGCTTCGTTCGAAGACGAGATGTGGCAATGAAGCACCAAACAGCCTTAGCTACTGCAGTGTTAGTCTGGGCATGGGCATGCTCAGGCCTGTGGAAGTGCGCGAATCAGCGCCCATCACCACACCGCCATCGAATTCAACGGCCATGATTGTCCTTATCTGTACCAAGCTGCTCTCACTGCTCATGGAAGCTGCCAAGGCTACAACGAGAAGACACCTGCTGCTTTCTCGAATTAGACTAACTTACAGGTAGATCGATGCCTCTGCAGTCAGTCCTAGTATTTAAGGCGAGGGTCGTGCCGGTAGAAACAGCCTGCTCAGGCTTCATCACATCGTCAGCGCGGTAGGGGCACCCCTCCTGATCTGGGCAGCATGACAAGGATGGTCGAGACTCTGCTAGCCGGCAAGGGTGGACAACTGCGCTAGCGGGCGTTCCGAGAGAGGACGTGTCCGTGGAGAATTCAAAGACAAGCAAACTAAAGGTCCTCGACGTGGCGGGCAAACTCATCCTGTGTTGACCTTTGCAGGTCTAGAGGCTTCGCTACGATCTGAGAAAACCTGATCGCCTCCCTCCGCCAATGCTTAAAGGTGCGTCAACCAGCGGATACTGTCTACCCCCCCACCAAGAATATGCAAGCTAACAGGGCTCAAGTGCACCGGCCTGGGAGCGAGGAAGTCCATGTTGCCTGGTCCACTTCTTGAAGCACCAAAGGTTTCTCTGGGTGCTTTCTGGGCCGAAACGGCAATGGACGTTGCACTATCCAGAACAGCTGAGCCATGCGGTGCGCCCCCAGATTTACTTGCAGCGCTGCAACCAGTGGCATCTACGTGGCATGTGAGTTTGGTAGTTTGCAGGGCTGCAGCTTCGCAATGCATTTATTTCGCTAGAAACCGTCCACGTCGCTGGCAAAGATCGCACTTCAGGCGTCTCCCATTGTGCGGGGCATTGCGTCATTTGACCTTGCATGGCGCGAGCGTTACACCTGCCGATCTATATATAAATATAAATACATACATACGTACATACATACATACATACATACGTACATACATACATACGTACATACATACATACATATATACATATTATATATGTCTATATATATAATATTATCTGTAATACTGTCATACATATGTGAGTGCATATCCATACATACATACATACATACGTACGTACGGACGGACGGACGGACGTACATACAACAAACAGACAGATGGACAGACAGACAGACAAACAGACAGACAGCCAGACATATATATATATATATGTAGAGAGAGAGAGAAACACACATAACCATTCCCTGCAAACTTCAGATCTCATCTCAGTGGGAGATCTGCGCTCGAGATAAGGCCAGGGCAGCCGAAGCCGGAGGAAGATCCACACCCTGCCGGGCCAGGATCCGCAATGAGCTTGGCGTCATGAGAACTACGGGGTGCTACAATGGGCCTGTTCAAGTCCTGGATGCCAGTTGTAGGCAGACTGGGCCGGCCTGGCAGAGGGTCCAGTTTCCGGCATCCGGGCTGTTTTGGTTGCAGCTTGTTCCGCTCCAAGCCCACAGTGGCTTGTCAGTTCGTCAGCTGACAGTGTAGCACAGAAGACCTGACGACTTCTGCTCGTGCACGGTGTCCAGACGTGCATCGACGGCAGACTTGCACAGCTGCTTCTGGAAGTCGCGATGTCTGCAACACAATATGTCCAGCTTAAACTATTGAGAACACCATGGCTGCAGGTCTCTAGGCCTTTTGAGTCGTGATTGTGATCATCAGATATCAGCAGCCATCGCAACTCGGGGATGCGCCAGAGATTTCTGGCAACATGGCCCCAGCCCAGCCCGAAACAGAAGCCCAGTCCAAGCCGTAGCACAGCCCTGAGAAGGTCGTAGCTCAGATCACGGACCTCTTGAGCCCCGGCGAGTCGTCTGAGGGCGGGAGACGTCCAATGGCGCGTGAAGGTTCGTCCAGGTTCGCACGGCCACGCACGATCAGGTCGAGGCATCGGCGTTGAAGCGTTCGTGCCTGCAGCGTATTTCAGCGAATGAATCGCAGCGCTGGAGCTGTTGCATGCTATTCCTCGAAGATGCACGGCATGTGACACATGGGCCTCAGACCTCCCTAACTTCCCTAAATCATTCCAAATCCTTACATTCATGTTCTATGGCAACAAGCCCCACGACCATTTCTGTTTTCCTCTGGCTGGCGTTCTAGAACGGTTCTTGAGACACTGAAATGGTAGCTACGGTACGGCGTCGAAGGCGCTGGGTTACCCGTGAGGCCTTGCGCTCTCGCAGATGCCGGAAGAATTTTGCTTGCACGGTATTTCCGCACGACCACCTAAGGCAGGCGGAAGGAAGGAACTGGCGGAGATATGTAATATTGCACTGCGGACCGGGCGCCTCTACACTCTGGCTGCAGACTCGAGAAGAGCAGGCCGAATCTGGAGGTTGTCGCCGTGGGCATCTCGCTGGCTGTTACACACCGTCGTCCTTCTTGATGAGCTTCCTGACCTGGCAACAGGTCCCCATGCAGCAGAGCCACTGTGACGCAGATAACAAGATGTTGCCTTGGTTCGCGAGTCGAGAAAGTCTCGAGTAGCTGACCACAGGTCTCGGCTACGCCTGGAGGCGTCTTCGCACTGGCATCCCGCAAGCAAACTTAAGTAAATTTACAGCGGAACGCCTTCCTGCTTCAGAATTCACGTAGCAGCAAAGACCGAGGACGAGGCAAGCGGGTCGGCACTGAACAACTCCTCCAAGGGTTGGAATGCGTGCATGTGAGAGATGAGGCTATTGCAGATTTGGCAGGGTACGGCTGAAGGCATGATGTAGCTTCGCGGCTTTCACACTCGGTCGTTAGTCGTTCCGCAGGAATCGAAGTCACGCCCCCAAGAGCTAAAACTACAGAACCCCAACTGAAGCAACCGACGCCGACCGTGGTAAGCCTGGAAGGAAAGCAGAATAAGAGAAACCTGCTAAAGGCTCGTCTGCCCATGCCCCGACGACAGAAGTCCTCAAGGACCTCAACATGGATGGCGTCTTTGCCGAAGAGATAGAAGCGAGACTGTGCTAGGACCTGGCATGGTCCCCGTTCAATCTTTTTCAAGGGTCGAGCTACAATCTCATGAGGCGGCCATATGCTGGTCGTCTATTCCCTGAAACGGGCTACAAACTCCGAGGTACTTATGGTATAGTAGAGACGACCAGAGCAACCCACCCCACCACCGTGCGACATCATAACGGAGAGAGACCCTTTGAGGTCCGGGCGTGAAGGCGGTCGTCGCTCGAAGCAGTGGGTACTTGGCGCCAGAAGCAGAAACGGGGATCACATGCTGCATCGGGCCTTGGGCCCGAACTTTCCGCTAGTGGGGCTGAAGAAAGTTGCTCGATGTCCAGCGACCTTGGCGCAATCAGTACATAACTTTCGCTTGGAAAGGGAATGCCTGACTGCAGGGCACCGAACATACCGAACCGAGGGCGGCACCACCAACCAACCATCGCACCTGGCCACCAGGGGCCGACAACCCCTGTCGCCGTCACCTCTGGTCCGAACAGGCGAGTCCCATTCGCCTGCTGGCAGCGGCAGCCGTGTCACCGAAATGGGCTGCCAGGGACGCAGGACCTGGACATCGACACCGGCTTGCCAAGGGAACGCCTCGTCGCTACTTAAGTCCTTGGCATACAGTTGCTAAGATGAGCGTGGGATCATTCTTGTTCCGTCGCTCTTTTCTGATTGGGCACGGCCGGGACGGCTGCTAGCTGCGAGCTTCGTTCGACGCGCCTCCTCGGTGTCCGTGGAGCTGCCAGAGGGGCTCCGGCAGCCTCAGCAACCAAAAACGAAGACGAAAGAAAAAAGGCCGGAACTTCGATGCGAGAGCCCGGTATTCAGAGCAAGATGAGGATTCGCTTAAAGGCTGAAGAAGGGCTGGGCATGGCTGGGCTCCCCCTCTTTCATCGCCGCAGCTGAGCAACGCAAGCGCAAGCGCCGCTGCACGGCGCATCGTTCCCAATATGACACGGCAAAGAGTCCAATGGAACTCGCCTTGGTCGAGCTGCGCAAGCGATGCTCCCTACACCCTGGGCCGCCCGACCCGGGCCTCTGAAAGTGGCATGAGGCCGGCGACACCAGTGAAGCGTAGCAGGGCAGGATCCCAGCCTCCATTCAATGAGCACATGTTACTGGTAATAAGGGATGAAGCATTGAAGGATCTCTTGATAGCTCATGATTTGGGGAACTGCACTGCCCAACATCATCCAAACGGGAAGTTTGAGGTCGCCACCAGTGCCCACTCGAATCCTGACGAAGTGATTCTCTTTGCATCACAACCCGTCATTGCGGAGCCCTGCGCGATCATGAAAACGCCGAGGAGCCAGTGTAGGGGTGACAGCGCCGTGGCCGAATTTGTCACATCCTTGAGACCGAGCCATTCGAACGTAGAGGAACGTCAAGCAAGAACAGCTAAGCCGCCCAAACTTCGGCATATTGCGATCTGTCGGAATAGCTGCACGGAAGGGAATTAGGAGAAAGGACAACAACGTTCCTGCCGGCCGAGTGTCGCCAACCACAGGCTGCACGAATCGTTCCGAAAGTAGCACATCGCCCAGAACCGGGACCTGCGGGCCAATGATGTCGCAGCTTTGGAACGCACCGACGGAGATTGCAGCTGTGGCTGAGAAAGTGCTCCGAACGCGCATGCTTCCAACATGTCTGCCTGCCCGCGCAAGGCCGCAGAGGGTCGCTGGACGCAGGACCTGCTTGTCTTGCGGAGCTAAGTGACAGCTTCTGCACGACAAATGGCCAAGCCGTGAAGGATGATTTTCTCAACAACCTCGCGATTGCACACAGGCCTTGACACGATCGCTCGCAACGACAGCCTGATGCACGATGCAGTCGAGATTTTCTACGACCAGATTTCGTGGGAGTGAGTCTTGCTGTGTTCAATCGCTTGTGCTGGCATCGGACAGGGCTGAAGCAAATTCGTGCTTAAGCATGCAATCATGCAACCGAGGCTGCAATACCTGTCTGTTGAACATGAGAGCTGACCGCAGCAAAGTGTTTAAGCTCCCGGCCTTTGCGGCATGCCAATGCTGCCTCCCTCGCTCAGGTAACGCACACCTGCCCACGCACTCCAAGTGAAATCGCGAAACATTTCCTGCAACTTGCACGGACTTTTAAGCTCCGAGATGCTTCTGAATGCGGCATTGTGATGGCTTCGGCCTGTCCGTCCTGGAACCTTGCTCCAGTTGCCATGCTCCAGCTCTCGCCGTGTCATCACTCTAAAAACCCAGTGACGATCGACCGCCGCTGTTGTAAACATCGTTGTACATCGGCGCCGCAGGCTTGGATCTCAAGACAACGCATTGTGACATGTCGTGCAACCTTGTGGCAAGATGCAGCTGTCACAAATGGAAGCACTGCTCAGCGCGCTGTGCTTCGATTGGGGATAGCTGCACTGGTAGAGCGATACTCCCGAAACTACTGTCGGATCCACAATGGTCAGCATTCGTTGGGTCGAGGAATCGCAAGGCAGATGCAAGATTCCAGCTGTGGCTGTCCAATACATGCGAAAAGGAGTGCACAGATTTTCAGTCATTTCAGTCATTGTCGAAGCGATTAGCATCTTACATGCAGCTGCAATGCCATCTCCAGCATCGACTGCCAGGTTGCGAAGCACAACTCTGCCCACTGATCTTGTTTCGAAGCTGCAATCGCATTAACAAGGCAGCGCCGAACGACTCCACCGCTGCTGTGGTACTGCCGTTGCTGCTCAGTGGGAAAGCTTAGGGTCGGAGTTGTAGCCGGTGCTCTGGCCTGTCATGGCCAGTGCTGCCATGAAACCACATCGTGATGGCCCATCGCTGTCTGCGGGTCACTCGCACCTCCAAGGGAGAACTGAGTAGATCATGCGAGAACCGAGAAACACCAGGGCCAGTGGTCTTAAGTGGTTTAAGCCTAAGCAGTTCAATGCAAGACCTCATGCTGCAGGGTGTCGGCCCGCAGCAGCACCAAGCTGTCACCGTTCGGTAGTAGGTCAACCGGCTGAGAGTGCTCCGGGAAAACCCGAAGAGCTCCACCATCCGATCCTTTCCAGGACCCAGGGTTTAAATAGTACACGACAGTGAGCAGGCGGCGGTTTTCGAAGGAGTCCTCAGCAGATTGGCAGAAATGACAAGGGGATTGTTATGCCTCTGTGTGCTTCTGTGGGCTGTCAACTACATCTAGAGGACAACGGAAGCTGTCAAAAATTCGGTATGGATCCCTGGCTCGCACTTCTTACAGACATGTTTCTGTAGTTTTCCAGAGCATCGACCGTTAACTCGAGGTTAAAGAGGGTGGGAGAAGAAAATAGTTGAATTCGATTCCTATACCAAAAAGGCAGCGGAACATGCAAGGTTCGAAGTGATGAACTTATGAAGATCCTCGATGCCGACCGTTGAAGCATGAAAGCAAAGAGTTGTCACTTCGCGCACAAGTGTGCCACAGGACAATAATAATGCCCGCATCTGCAGGATGTGGATGCAGACAAGAAGCAGAGTCCTCGGCAGAGCCGTCGCAGTGGCTGGTAAAGAAGCCTCCAGAGTCGTAGCAAGCCAGCATCGCCATCTCACGTCCCGTCAATGTGAGCTTGGATGACGGATCCTCGCTTCGTCTCCCAAACAATACCGCCAGATTGTGCAAGAAATCAGTCAGCCAGCGCATTCCAGGTCGTGACGACAAGGCATACCTTGTCTGAGCGGACTGATAGACTTAGAAGAGACTCGCAAATGGATCTCAGATGCGTCTCAACGCACACCGGCAACCCACAAACGACTACTGCTACTAACCATGACCACCATGCGCCATCAACGAGCAGTAGCTGCAGCAGCAGCAGCAGCAGCAGCATCAGCAAAAGGAGCTTTCCAGTATCAACTCAAGGCACGAGTTCAACCAAAGCATCCGATCACGCCGCTTGGACTCGTCACCGTACGTCTTCCCCCTCACCATGTGAGATTCCAGAGAGATGGCCTCCTCCAAAATGCAACTGCGGACTTCTGCGGGGACTCCGACTTGAGTCAGTCGTGCCCACCTCAGGCTACAAGGCATCACGTCTTTCCACCCAGCTTCCTACTTCGAACACACGCTAAGACAGGGATGTCGAGCTCAAGGCTGCTGGACTATGACTTCGTGTTGTGCTCTCCATGTCGGGCTGAACCGGGCACGCCTCTGACGACGAAACTGGAAGGCGTCCAACATCGATGCGCAGGTTGCTGCCAGCTCGTCCCTCTGTCGCGAGCCGGGCAGTGCTTCGGCAGCAAGCCGGAGGGTTTTGCCCTGCGGGAGCAGCTTCCTTGGCATCTGGGCTACAGTACGCCAGCAGTTTCGCCAGAGACGCTTGATGAACTGAGGCATCCGCTCGGAGGGTTCGAGGCTGCGCGAGGCGTCTTCATCGCAAGTCTTCTCAGCCAGCTCCAGGGAGTCGAAATCAAACATGAAGCGCACCAGGGTGGACCTACTCTGATAAGGATCATGCGGCTCATTTCCGAGCCTCGCATATACGGGGTGAAAAGGTAGTCATTCTCATCAGTCTATAAGCCAAAATGGTACTTCCCTGGTCTCATGCTTTCGCTTCGGCTAGTCGTTGTGCCACAGGCTTGATGGTCATGTGCTGTGGGCCACAATCGTTTCTGACAAGTGCTGCAGAGCTGCCGTGCTTGCGGGATCGAGTCCAAAGGTTTTGACACTCCTCGTGGTCTAGGGCTTCGGGACATCATGTGTACCATACAAACTTGCAAAGGAACTGAAAGGGATACCATATCATACCGTAGTCATACTGGAGCTATAAAGGGGACACGACTCTGTCGCAGAACTGTACAGATGATCGCTGAATGCCAGGCCTTCCACCTCGCCGCATGCGCCAAGGAGCGAGCCGAATGCATGTGCATAGCCTGGCCATGTAGCTTCCTTCTGCTGAACTACCTGTTTAGGGTTTAGGGTTTAGGGTTCAGGATTTAAGGTCTGTTTTTTATCACCTCTTTTCCGTTCGTCTGAAAAGGTGTTCTATGGTTTAGGGCTTAGAGGCTAACTTGATGCCCTGTTGAGGTGCCCATGCTCGGGTTCACGACGTCGCCGGTTAACCCTTACAGCTCGCCTCCGACGTGGACATCGATCTACCAGCTTTCAACACAGTTTACAACTAGACCAGCCCAAACATGGCAAAGCTGGATGCACACGAGAAACTTTGGGGGACTCCGAAATTCACCTGCCTGATGCCGACTGCCACGTCGTGATACTGGGCTTCAACAGCGGTTCCACGTGCGCCTCTAAGAAGCCTGCAGTGAGGCAGACAGGGCACAATGACCAGGATCTCGAACTGGAACCCTTTGCTCACGCAGGTGCAGCTTCGCAGCTCATGCTTGATGCGTTTGCTGCATCGAACTTCCTGGCAAAGATGATGGGGTGCTGTTCCCGCACCTGCAGGGATGCGCATCTGAGAAAGAGTTGCGACAAGCTGAATCCACAGGCTGCATGTACTTATACTTATACTTTAGATTCAACAGCAAGCCTGTTCACCCTGAGTTCCATTTGGCACGGCCTTGACTCCGACTCCTCCTCCCTCAATCTCCCTCAAACGACTCGTTCCGAAGGCTTCCCCTCTTCACAAGGCATTCCCGATGTAGTAATTACTAGAGCTCTGAGACACGAGACATATCGAAACATTCTGGGGATAGCTTTGGCGCCTGCCGCAGCAGTGGAAGCGAGCTGGAAGTCAGCACTGGCGGGCTTCCGGTTGGAAAGTCCGTATAGTTGCGCCTTCAGCTTGAAGGATAGACTTTCACCAAATTGTTACTGGCTCAACTAAGAGGCGTTGGAGAATAACAGCTGAATCTCACAGACTCTACATTGCGAGACCAGTACAGTGCTGGTTCAGCAGCCCATTGACTTAGCCAGCGGCGACGATTCGTCCAAGAAGTTGCCCTGTGTGTCGTGAAAGTGGAAATTGTACCTGACATTGCAATCTCCACGGTCCCGCATTACCCACATTGGTCCGTCAAGTACATATTGCTCACTGATTTCGACAATCGTGGAGCGGACACAAACTTCGCAGCAACAACAGCAGCAAGAGGCAAAGACGAAGACAGAAACTCTCGGGATCGCGCCTCAAGTGACTCGTGCAGTACACGCTGTTCACCGCCTGATTTACAGAACGATAGTTGTCTCAGATCATCCCTGGCAAATGTGCCCACAACACGCTGCGACACCTCTCTCGGTGCCTTCAGACAAGCAGAACAAGATGAGCTGAGGCTGCGACCAGAGTGTGGAAGAATGTCTCATCTGGTGATGAGAAGAAGAGGACCTCATTGAGCACCTGACGAGCTGAGCAGGTTGGCATTTTGACTTCGAGATTGGTTTGCAAACGAGCACAGACTGCGCGAAGGCATCCAGCCGAAGCGCCGGTTGAGCATTGGGCACCTCACCTCCCGTGCCAAGCTCCGGCTGCTTTGCTTGATCCTTCCCAGGATTTCTCAAATGCCGACGTGCTGCTGTGGCAGTAATTCAGTAATGGCCAGCTCAATATGCGCATCAGCTTGATAGATGTGCTGTCCGGCACCTGCCAATATGGTCCGGACCATCCGCCACGAGCTGCAAAACCTCGTGATTGAAAGGCCCACGTTAGGGGCACCAGGCAGACCAAGCACATGCAATTTGTCCCCACCTCTTCGCCAGTCTCGCCTAATCCATCCAGAGCAAACTCTGCAAAGTCGCGATGAAGCACCTGCTGCCATGTGCAACATTCCGCAGGATCCGATAGACCGTCTTTGCATTCCCTTCTCAGGCCACGGCGACGAATTGCGAGCCGCTTGCCAATGTCAAGTTCGGGCGAATCGGGATGCCATCCTGCTATCCGGAGACAAGCATAGCAAACGCCAGTGCAATGAAAATGAGTCGCAAGATGATAACTGACAGCTGCATTCTAGATAATGATCATGCCAATGGCTTAAGTGACGAGAATTAGAACCATCACAACATTAGCACACACTGATGCTTACACGGGTGGTGATAGTGATGGTGACGATGACTCCTACGGCACCACCTTAAGGAAGTCAAACGCACAGTGCTGGCCTGATGGCCACCCATCCGGATTGCATGAACACGGTCGCTACACTCGACCTGGGAAGTCTCGGCTGTCCCCCCAAGGCTCCCGAAGGGCAAAGTTTGCAACAGCAAGGCGGTCTGATACCCCTGGTTTCGTGCAGAAAGAAGAGCTGCACTGTGACGCCAAGGCTGCCAGGACGCAGCAACGGATTTGGGCTTCACGTCGAGCACCTGCACTCGACATAGCCAGCTCACTGCAAATAGCGGCCCGGCTTGCCAGCTGCGACAAAGAAATATGTCAGTGCGGGTGCCTCACCTCCGTGTTGATAAAGCTTCTGCCCCAGTGCAGGCCCAGGACACCTCCGGCCCAGGTCCAACTGAATCAAGTTCTTGAAAGCTCGCTACGTACAACTAAAAGCTACTCCATCCACAGCACTGCGCAGATGGGCCAAACTACGTGACCCCGAATAAACCCAGCGGAAGACTCACAATGCTGGAGCGCCAAGCGACGTTGCAAGTAGTCTGCGGGCCGGACCTGGGTCGAGGCTTAAATCATCTTTTCCTATCCGCTGTATTGACTGTCTTGCTTATAGTTCTTGTTCCTACAAAACAGTTCAAGCTAAAGTCCGTTGGCTTTGTTTTCTCAGATTCTCCGTAATCCTTTGCGAGCGGTTCGCTCAATTTCCGCAGACTCTCTAGCCCCCTCCGAACGGTTCGCTCCTCTTTCTCAACTCCTCAAGTCCCTTTCGAATGCTTGATCCTGTTTTCTAACATTCTTCAATTCCCTTTCAACAGGTTCGCTCCTCTTCTCAGATTTTAAAATCCCTTTCGAACGTTTCGGTCCTTTCTCAAGTTCTCTACAATCCAGATTCTCTAGCATCTTCAGAACAATTTGCTTTCTGTTTTTCAAACTGTCAGTCCATGGTCCCTTTCGAGCGATTCACTCCTCTTTCTCAAAGTCTCGAGTCTCTAGTCCCCTCCAGTTCCTGTTGAGTGCTCGATTTCATTTCTCATATTCTCCAGTCCCGATAGAAAACTTTGCTCCGCCTACTCAGACCTATTCCTACTCCCTTTCCAACGGTTCGTTGCTCTCTCTCAACTCGCTCCTCCTTCTCAGATTCCCCACTCCCTTTCGAACGGGTCCTCTTTCTCAGACTTCCTGGTTCCTTTCACACCGGTCAGTCCCCTTTCAATTGGCCTGCTCCTCTTTCTCAGATTCTCTAGTCCGATTCGAAAGGTTCGCGCCTCTTTGTCCGACTCCCCAGTCCCTTTCCAAATTTTCGCTCCTCTTTCTCAGATTCTCTAGTCCTTTTCGAACGGTTGGCTCGTCTTTCTTAGGTCTACATTGCATTTCGAGCGGTTCGGTCCTCTTAGGAGCGGGCCGTTGAAAAGGGAGCGAGCCGTTCCAAAAGAACTAAAGAATCAGAGAAAGAACAACGAACGGTTCGAAAGAAATCAAACAAATCTCAGACACAGGAAAGAACCGCTCGAAAGGGACTAGAGGCTGTAACAAGACGAGGAGCGAGCCGCTCGAAAATGACTAGAGAATCTGAAAAAAAGGGGGCGAGCGGTTCGAAAGGACCTCAGAATCTGAGAATAAACTGATTCGAGAACTTGAGAAAGAGGAGCGTCAAAAGGGACTAGAGCATCTGAGAAGAAAAGGGAATGAACCGCTCGAAGCGGACTGGGGAGTCTGAGCAAGAGAATCTGGGGCATGAACCACTCGAACGGGATTGAAGAGAATCTGAGACATAGGCACGAACCACTCGAAAGGAACTAGCCTGAAGAAGAGCCGTGAACCGCTGCTCGATACAAACGAGAGAATCTGAGAAAGAGGCGTGAACACTCGAAAATGACTAGAGAATCTCAGAAAGAGGCGTGAACCGCTTCAAAGGGACTAAAGAAGCTCAGAAAAAGGCATGAACGGCTCGAAAGAAACTAGACAATCTGAGAAAGAGGCGTGAACCGCTCGAAAGGGACGAAAGAATCTCAGAAAGAGGCATGAACGGCTCGAAAGGGACTAGAGAATCGCAGAAAGAGGCGTGAACCGCTCAAAAGGGACGAAAGAATCTCAGAAAGAGGCATGAACAGCTCGAACGGGACTAGAGAATCGCAGAAAGAGGCGTGAACCGCTCGAAAGGGACGAAAGAATCTCAGAACCAGGCATGAACGGTTCGAACGGGACTAGAGAATCGCAGAAAGAGGCGTGAACCGCTCGAAAGGGACGAAAGAATCTCAGAAACAGGCATGAACGGTTCGAACGGGACTAGAGAATCGCAGAAAGAGGCGTGAACCGCTCGAAAGGGACGAAAGAATCTCAGAAAGAGGCATGAACGGCTCGAACGGGACTAGAGAATCGCAGAAAGAGGCATGAACCGCTCGAACGGGACGAAAGAATCTCAGAAAGAGGCATGAACGGCTCGAACGGGACTAGAGAATCGCAGAAAGAGGCGTGAACCGCTCGGAAGGTACTCAAGAATCTCAGAAAGAGGCATGAACGGCTCGAACGGGACTCGAGAATCTGAGAAAGGGGAACAGCGAGCCTGTCCAAAGGAACTGGGGAATCCGAAAAAGGTCAACGAACTGCTCGAAAGGCAGAGAGAATCTAGTTGAGCGGACCGTGCGAAAGGGACCAGAGAGAATCTGAGAAAGAAAGGTAGTGTTTCAAAAGCTTGAGTTTCTGCTGTTTCGCTGGGCCCAGCCTGTTTGTCTGGTCGAAACCACTGCTTTGATAAGAAGTAGATATTCCAAGTGCCTTATGACGCTATTGACACGCCTGTTCACGCAGCTTTTTGTCAGCTGTCGGGTGGCGTCGAGGCCCATCCTCTGAGTGAGCACAGGAAAGCCCCTGAGTCGCTGAGGCCGCCGTCCCCAAAGCAACTCTGCCAGCGCAGGGAAAGCGGGCCGCGAGGCGGTGCCCGGTGCCGATCGCCTTCAAGGCGGCAGAAGGGTCTCTGAGTTTTTCTCGATTGTCTTCAGCAGAGATGACTCGCAAGGCAGCGCAGGGAAGCTCGTGCAGGGAACATCGTGAACAAACGCGTGGTCAGCCTCGCTCAAGTCCTCTGCTGCTCACTTGGAACGTTGGCGCATCTTGCGGCGCTTCTTTTGCAATCGGCGGGTGCGCTTCCTGGGGCGAATGTCTGAACGGCACACAGTGTCTGCAAAGTAAGTTTCTCCGGACATTGAAGCTTTTTCAGCTGGGATCCCTTTAGGGAGCCCTTTCTGCTTGCCTGCCAGTCGAAACTCAGTCATAGCATGCATGCCATGCGTCTTCTTCCACTTCCAGCGAAACTTTGATCGCGCCTTCGAAGGAACAACAGACATCAACCGCTGCAGCTTCCCGGGAGAGTGTGATTTCATGTCATTTCAAATGCCGTTGGTAGCACAATCTGTGGAATTTTTTCTCCAGAGCGCGTAATCAGTCAGTATTATTTTGCTACTGCTACGATTCCTCCTCGTGCTGATGCTGCTCTGCAGGTCCTGTGGGGCCTGTTGTGAGTACACCGATGGCAACAATTCTCAGAGGAGGTGTTCTGACCGCAGCTCAGCCCTGTTCGGTAGCCTCGTGGATGTTGCCACGCTTAGAAGTGGTCATGCTACTGATGTTGCCAATGCTACTGCTTCGATCACGACCACCGCTTGCTGCGAAGATGAGCACATATTGCTCTTTCTGAGACTGGCACCGTACTACTCTGCAGTGACCTCCCATTGCTTTGCACCCGCGAGAAATGAATCAAGGAATCAAGTCGGAGACAGCTGCTGTGCTCATTAACACGTCTCATATCGGAGTGGTAGCTCATGCGAATTTTTTTGAAATAGCTCTTTGAAACACCGAAGATTGAAACTCGAAACCCCAGAACCCGAGACAGCCTTCTTGTACGGATTGGACTTGTGCGCCATGGCTCCCGAACCCGAAAGTTCCCCGAAGCCTCCATGAGCCCGGCAGCGGCAAGAATCCGTGGCTTCGTAAAGCTTGCGGATAGCTTCAACGAGTACCGAGTAAGATCTTACGGGCTCGCTTCACAGACGTGGGGCATGAATCACATCCGGGGAGAGCAATTCTCGCGACAGCTTTTCAAGGTCCGAGTCTCAGGCCATCTGATCACTGTCCGACAGGGTCCTCGGAAGCTCCAAGGGGACTACAGCTTGACTCTTGCCTCTCAAGCCATAAGCTACCTCCCTGCTGCATCTAACTCCTGGCACATGGCCAGCGGGATCACGGCGCCACCTATACCCCCGGCCGAAGCGGTCAGAGGTTCCTATTCGGACTTCCTCTAGACCCCACCTCTTAATCCCCTCACCAGTCACCCACCACCAGCAGTTCGTTGGCCCTCTTTGTTTGCGGCCGGGCCGAGGCGGACGACGCGAAGCATTTAAAATTACTGCTTAGAACCTAGTCACGAGCTCCCTGTAGCAGCATAGCCGAGAGGCATGAAGTAGTGCCAGGTCTTGGAAAGGCTCAGCAGCCTCCAAGGTCCAGGAGTACTCAGGATGCAGGCTACCAAGCAATTCTTTGCGTTGCATAGTCTGCTGGTGTTCGACGTTCACTACCCGACCGAGGGCTCCATCAAAGCGTGACAGGTGTCTAGACATGCAAGCCAACAGCCTACTAAGCACGAAAGGTCCCGGCTCCTCATTTGGTAACCCTGAACCGTAAAGCTGTTCCACTTCCACCTCTTCAGCCCATACAGCTCGGCTGCCAACAGGGAGGCCCCAGAGCGGCGAACCCCCACAGCACGCTCCACCTCAGCCACTGTAACAAGATCATGCTACATCAGTCAGCATGAACCCAATATCAAGATCATCATCATCATCATCATCATCATCACCATCATCAATATCACTATCACCATCACCGTCTCGTGTCAGGGCATATCCGCTCTCATCATCCTCAATGATAACCAGCCATCTTACCTTCAGAATCGCTTTCTCAATGTGGAAAGGGGAAGACGAAAGAAGAATTGCTTTGCGCAGGCTGCGGAGGCTTGCTGGATTCGAGAAGGAGCCGAGGTGCATGGACATTGGCGAGCTTTGGATCTGAAGCGGACCAGTCTCGAAGCTTCCGCTCCAGTTGCTCCGACTTCAGGTCGACGTGGACCAGGAAGGTATGAGTTCGCCGCCAGAGGGAAGTAAGAAGTCGCTGGACAAGCCCAAGCTGAGCTTCGTAGGCAGCGAGGACCAGCACCCCGAAAGCGATTTCTTGCAAGTTGCGGTGCTGCATACCAGCCGTAGGTGGGACGTCGCCCTCTACTGCCTCGGCTGACGGAGAGGCTCTCCACTCTCGAGCCCGAGCCCTGGGCAAATCAAAGCCCCGAAGCTTCAGCCAGCTATGGCAGCTGTGGAGCGTGGTTCGGTGATGCCATCCGTAATGGATCCAGTGGACAGTTCCCAGCCAGCGGTCGAGGTCTCTCCACCTGCGAACTTGGCAAGGGCCCAACCTCTGTGCACTTGCCCGCAGCATCTCTCCCGTCACCTCCAGCAGCCGGGAGCAGTAGATGCCTGCATTGAAGGCTTTTGGGGCATTGACGGCTTGCTGTGGTGCGGCACACCAGCTGTTGGGCAAAAGCACTTCTACACAAATCTGGAGTACCACCGTGACCTGCGACCTTCTGATGACAGGCCGGCTGGATGTGGCTTTCTCCTTGGCTTGAGGTTGCTGTTGGAGTGCTTACGTCGTCCTACAGATGTACCAGATGGTAGCAGATCTAACACTAACGAGCTGTTCTTGGAAAGGCCGAGCATCTGAGCTGGCTTTCCATGAGCCTGTGGCAGTCCCGCAAGTATGCCTCTGCAGCGACTTGGGCACTTTCAGCCTCGACTTCCTTGCAACAGAGCGCCTCTTCGGCACTGGCCAGCGTGGCCCAAAGAAGCCACTGCACGCAGGGCGGCGTGACCATGTGGTACAGCTCGGGGGCATGAGAGCGTTTCGGTGGAAGTCATGTCGAATCCGGGGTAGGGGACGTCGCTTGTCCGTAGCTGTGGGATTTGTAAGCTGAAGCAGGTTGCACAATGCTTGTGAGCAGGTGGCACAAGCTGCCGCCGCGGGAACACACATTTCGAGACCGCCACGGCAGAAATGCGAGCACAAGGATCAAGATTGCGCTCTGCCCTCTGCTGAAGATCCTAGCCTAGACTTCTGTGTCTTGATTCAGCATCCAAGACTATTACCTAGGCTAATCATCAGGCTCCCTTTAACTTCCGATATCCGCGGGATGTTCCGACAGGCCTGGCTCCCAAAAACTCCCACGTCTTCGGGCCTCGAACCATCGCTGACCGGTGATTCTCCGGAAGGCTCCTCCACACAGTTCCGGCAACCCCATGAGCCAGATTTCTCCAGTTGTAGGGCATAAGTGTCGTGAGTTGTTTTGACCCTTTTTGGATTCGAATCACCACTGGTACAAAAAACAAACTGCAAGCCCGTGTCGCCCCTTCGTGCACCAGCAGTCTGTTCCAGGTACTGCAACTGGTTGCAGCAAAACATCTTTGCCGATGCAAGCTGAGGACAATCGGAGTTTCCAGACAGGGAGTCTGAAGACACTATTGAAAGCCCACATGAAGCCGCATGAACAGACGCCAAGATCGAGAGGCAGCCGCCTGGTGCTAAGACCCCTCTGTCCCCACCACCTCACGTTTTCTCTGCCCTCTTGTTTTGACACAGGTGTCCGAAGTGTGTGGACGCCTCCTCATCGGCTGATGGTGGGGCGGTGCTGGCAGCGGTGCTCCCTGGCGTCCCCGACTTCTGGAGCGACACCTTAGCCAGAGCAGTCGATATTAAAAGCGAAATGCAGGCAACTAGGTTTGTTCATATCACAGCTCCCTGGTAATCACCTCGCCTTGTCGCCACGAAGATCGGGGAAGTTGCTGATCACAAGCCTTGGATCCAGTGCGACATCATGCCTAGCCGTCAGAAGCCCAATGCTGCTAAGCGACTTCTGAATCTCGGTATTCATGAGCCTGATCTCCTTGCTCTTATTGGCCAGGTCAGCGATCACCGCCCTGATCAGCAACGTCTTCAACACGCCCCAATGAGGCCCAAATTCACAAAGAACTGTGGGCAAAACGGAAGAAGCGGATCAGAACCATTGGGCCGTCCGCTCTGCTTTGCTTGCTCCCGGCCTGAGTTCGGTGCTTCCTTTCTTGTCGGGCGTGAACCCGTAGCGGGCCAAAACAGGGCCCATGACCTCCACAGGTACTCTTGCAATTCTTGCAATACACGGGGTGTAAACTTGTGATCTAACAGCTACTACTTTTCTTGTTGCTACTAATCTGGTTATTGATGTTGCTGAAATAGTGATAACGCGCATTCTTTTGGTGGGCTCGTAGCAGCTATCGCAGTAATGTTCACCACCAGCACGACCACTGGGTAGAGAGTGAATAGTACGTAGTAAGCAGAAGTACGTAGTAAGCAGCAGTAGCAGTAGCAGTAGCAGTGGCAGTGGGAGTCGCAGTCGCAGTCGCAGTCGCAGTCGCAGTCGCCGTAGCCGTAGCCGTGGCCGTGGCCGTAGCCGTAGCCGTTGCCGTAGCAGTAGCCGTAGCAGTAGCAGTAGCAGTAGCAGTAGCAGTAGTAGCAGCAGCAGCAGTGGCGGCAGTCGTCGTCGTCGTAGTAGTAGTAGCAGCAGCAGCAGCAGAAGTAGAAGTAGGAATAGCAGCAGCAGCAGCAGCAGCAGCAGCAGCAGCAGCAGCGGTTAGTTTTAGTAGTAGTAGTAGTAGTCGTCGTCGTCGTCGTCGTCGTCGTCGTAGTAGTTGTAGTAGCAGTAGTAGTAGTAGTAGTAGTAGTAGTAGCAGTAGTAGTAGTAGTAGTAGAAGTAGTAGAAGTAGTAGTAG